TCATCAACATACAAACAGACGAGTACATATACATTTTTGGAATTTTTTCGAATATACGCATTTGTCACATCCATTTATGACGAATCCATTCCTAATTATGACACTGTCAAACTTTTCATGTCATTGTTTAGGAGCTTGCTTCAAACCGTGTAAGGACTTAACTAGTTTGCAAACTTTGTTCTCTTGTCCTTTCACTATGAAACCTTCTGGCTGTTCCATATATACTTCTTTGTTTAAATCACCATTCAGAAATGCAGTCTTAACATCCATTTAATATATTTGTAAGTTGTATAAGGCTGTAATAGCAATTAAAACCCGAATAGAAGTAATTCTTGTTACTGGAGAATATGTGTCAAAGAAATCAATTCCTTCTTTCTGACGATATCCTTTTGCAACTAGTCGAGCCTTGTATTTGTCTATTGAAGAAAATAACCGGGCTACAGAAAAGAAGAATAATGTCCGCAACATGGAAGCAAAGGCTAACATGGTGGAAGACTCGGGGTCTAAGAACAAAAAAGAAAGCTTCTGGCTCATCTATGGACAAAGAAAAAGTCAACAATGCAAAACGGTTCAAAGGCAACTGTTATATTTGCGGAAAGTCGGGACATCGGGTTAAAGACTGTCGAAGCAAAAAGAAGGATACACAGAAAAAGAAACCGCCCCAAGCCAATATGACCGAAGTGGATAAAATTTCTACGGATGTTGGAGACATCAACCTATCTGCTGTTGTTTCTGAAGTTAATTTGGTATCTAATGCCAAGGATTGGTGGTTGGACCCAGGAGCCACTCGTCACATCTGTGCAGATAAGGGTCTATTCGCTGAATATAAGATCTTGAATCATAATGAGTGTCTTTAAACAATTAGATCCTCCATCGTCATCTCTTTGCATTTATGCTTGAGATAGTTTTTGAAATCTTTTCATAGTGGAAGTAGTTTCTCGATCATAGGAGCAATCTGGAAAGATTCCCTCAAAGTCATACCTTCAGCTACAATATCGTGAAGTAGAACTTGTATCTCTTGAACTTGACTCATAACTGTCTTTGAATCAGTCATCTTGAAATCTAGAAATTTGCTGACAATGAATTTCTTCGTCCCGACATCTTAGATTTTGTATTTTTTGTCAAGAGATTCCCACAGTTCTTTAACCGTTTTGTAATTACAATACACACTATATAAAGTGTAATTCAATCCATTGAGAATGTAATTACGGCATAAGAAATCTGCATGTTTCCATGCTTCAATAGCTAACTGAGTATTTTTATTAGTAGCATTCTTCGATGTTTGTGCAGGACATTCTTCACGCAGAAATTTTACTAAATTCAATATTGTCAATAGAATAGCATCTTCTGTTGCCAACGTTTGAAATCCATGCCATTGAACTTTTTCGGTTTCTCATATTGTGAAGCCAGTGGCATGACAAATTGATTGGAACAAGAATTTGGCGCAATCACAGCATTAGTATTGCTCTCAACAGTACCAATCACAGCGCTAGTAGTATTATCTGATGTACTAGCCATTTTCTGTAAAACCACAATTACAGAAAATAATCAATAATAGAAATGTAGAAGAAATGAGAAAATAAAATTTGTCTTAAAAAGATTTGCTTTGGCATACCTTGCTTCATCTACTATTTTCTATTTTTCCGCTTATTTTATTTGTTTTTTTTATTGCGATGGTCGAATTTCCGATAACAATATTATCTTCTCATCTCTTCACAAACTGCAAAGTCTTAGTTGTATATTGCATCGTGAATTCGAGGTACTCTCATAGTTATCTTTTGGATCATAAAAAACTATCAACTCAATCATAGGTTAGATCATAGATGAAACCATAGTTTCATCAGGAATTAATTATAAGCCTGTCGGATAAACACGTTTCATATTGAAGCAACCTCAAATAATGGCGAGTAAGAATCATCAGACGTTAGCAAAAAGGTACGCTACGTCCATATAACTTTCTTCTTTTGGCCTGAATTACAGGATGATGCAGAAGACATGTACAAGAGACAACAACTTAGAGAACTAGCCCTGCTAAATAATTTCAGAGAAGAGAGCCCACATCCAAGGGGTAGTGTATCTCCCTTTTCATCCGGTGGAATAAAACGTCCCAAAACTGGTTGGTAATCACTATATCATAATAGTCACTCTTTAGAGAGGCTTCTCAAGAACTTCTGCGGTGCTTTAGCACCATATGGTCGTCCAAGATTAATATCAAACTCTAGCCAGTTCTCTGTGAAATTATGAGCAAGCAAACTATTAAGAGACAGAATTTTTCTGCTTGTTTATGTTTTTTTATCTGGTTAGAGTAGAAGGGGGATTGGATTCATTTGTTATTAGGCTATGTTTGTCTGTAAACAGATGTAGAATTCGTTTGCTTTTGAGTCCTTTAATTAGTTAGTATACTTCTGTTTTCATTATCTTCTGTGCAAGTTTTTTTATTTTGTTGAGCAAAGGGGATCGAGCTACAGCTTCAGGGACAGGAGGGCAAGAGGGCAAGAGCAGCTTTCTTTGTCAAACCCCATGGGTCATTACTCAACTCTTAATCAATATATTGGGTTAAATTCTATCTTAAATGACAAACGAATCGATCAATTTCAATTCAAACATGAGTTTCGTACATGTAACATTAGGTAACTATAAATTAAAATTGGTCAGGCAAAGGTTTTCATGCGTGCCCACATATGCAGCAAAGCTTTTCTTCGTGAAATGTTATATATTCCTGTAGTTCAATTAAATTGGTTATTTCCGACATTATGCATATGTGAAAAAAAAATGTTTATTAATATGTAACAGCTAAATTCCAGATAAATTTATTCATGTTAGTCGCAAAAGTTTTTGTAATAAATGGTCTAATTCTGCCATAAACCTTACCCATATTTTAGCATTTCTTTGAAAGTGCCCCATTATAGACCGACAACGTGATTGAGTAAGCTCAATATAAAAGGCAAGAAGCTCACTTTTTTCAATTAAAATTTTAATGTATTTTTCTCTTTCTTCTTTTCAATCATATATTCAATTTTAAAAAATTTTGTTTTTTAACTTCACATTCTCTTAAAAATTGCTATTTCAAAATACGTCCCCCCCCCCCCCCCCCCAAC